AGCATAGAGATTTTGAGTCAGTGGTCTGGATCTGCCCATCGTGGTCTGGATCTGCAACTGGTTTGAATTTTTGTACAACGTTTACCAAGGTAGGGACAGAGATGCCAGTAGCTTCTGCTTTAACACTCACCATGTAAGCAGAGAGCAGCTGAGTCGTGTGTCCCCCCATCACTGATGGCTGACTCCAGCCTTAAGTACCAAAAAACTGTAGCGACAGGTTTCTGGTCTTACAGGGAGAAAGGAGAGGAGGTGGACTTGCAAGAGACTTACAAAGTCATGTCATGCTAGAAAACAGGGTTTGGTTTTGTTTCTTCAACAGCACGTACCAACTCCAAGAGGCAGAAAATATGGGAGCGATAGGACAGGTTCTCCTAGAGTGACTGTGGGATGTCTGTGGGGAGCCAGGCTAAGTTGGAGTTGAAGAATGCATTATGGGCAGCAAGTTTAGAAAGAGATATAAGTATTTTTTTATTTTTTTAAAGAGGGCAGCTTGGAAGCTGTGGCTGGTCCTGAACCAGGGCATAAGCACTGTGATGGGCAGGTGTGGGAATGAAAGGGGCTGACCCAGGTGGATAATAATTCCACATCTAGCCTTGTGTTTGAGTCCGATTTCTGTGATAAGAACCATCTTTAATGTAAAGCTGAAAAGACAGTATAAAGATGAAACAATTGGAAATAAAAGAAGTCTGGCCAAAATTTTCATTTGCATGGGCTATGTAAACCTCTCCCTCAAGGTGCTACTGATCTGTTTTTACTTTCTTTGCTTCCCAGAGGCAGAAGTAACAACTCCATGCTAAAATGGCCAGTTTTCTCAGCATTTACCAAAACCAGCATGGCTGGACTCAATGGCCAACATCACAGAAGTTACTTGTCCAAAAATTTAGTTTTCTAAGCGTGAATGTTGTGAACAGGAAGGCAACAACTAAACCCCAGGCCCTTGATATCTCATTATTGTGATCCAGGTTTCTCTCTGCTTGATGTCTTTCCAAGATTCCTCTGTATTTGTTTTATCCTTGACAGGCTAGTGAACATCTAAGAGCACTTGTATCAGAAGGTTTGGAAAGGGAACAGCTGAATATAATCTTCAGATAAATGCAGCATACCATGACCATAGATAAATGTTCTCTCCCATGAAAAGAAACATGAGGCCTATAGCTCTGAAAAGCTTTTGATTTAGATTTCTCCCTATAGAATAGTGAAGATCATGTTATCACATTCGTGATCTTGGGCTGTGGTAAGCTGGGCTGTGGAAACTCTCAGGTGTATACCTTCAGCTGGGCTACCCAGAGGATTCTGTGGTGCCTGGGTCAGGAATGCCCTTTTGGATGGTAAGCTGCTAAGGTGCAGTGGTTTGAGCTTTCCCCAGATTAGCCAAAAGAGTGAAAAGTAACTGAATATTCCACCCTGAAGCAATAGAAGTATACAGACAAATGTATCCGTCTCTGCTGGGCCACATTCACATGCACATGTTAGTTCCTCGGTGCCAGATCCTGCTATGAACTCTAGCTCTGCATGCTGTTAGAAATGGCAGAAAGAGATAGATTTCTGTATCTCTACACAAGCACATACTGGGTTGTTTTTTTCTTTGACCTGCAGCATATGGTGATGTTTGCTTAATCCATGAAAAAACTTGCATACTCATACATGATGTGACTTGTATTTTCTCCACAGAAAGCAAACTGGGCTGCATTTGTTACTGGACCCTCAAATCCGTTTCTGCTGCATAGTTAAGCAGGTATGTTTGGTATTTCTGGTTTGGGTTTTTTGCCCTTTTTTTTTCAGTAAAAAAAAAAAAAGCGCCAAATAATAAAAAGAAACACAAACCAAACAAACCAACCCCACAAACCACCAGAAAGCACATAAATGATTTAAAACACATGCTTTGTGTCAACTGCTTCACTGTTACTATTTTATCTCTATAAACAGGGCAGAGGCAAATCCCATCCAAACAAGGAACGGAAGATGCACTGCAAAATTGTGGCTGGGTCACGTGAAACAAGAACACATGCACATATACATTTCTGAACTGGGAAGACCCAGCTCAGAAATGTGATGCCTGCATTTTAGTGGTTATGCATTGTGAGTTCATGAGTGCATGTACAGTAAGTCATGCGCATTCTGGCTGCGTCTGACTTGTACATGTGCAGTCACTATTTGTCCAGGACTTTGGGTGCCCAGGCTTCCAGATGTTCAGAAACCCCATGCATATGTGCTGTAACAAGCACCTCCATTGGAGGGTGCTAAACTTCTTGGCATTCTTCTCAAATTCAGCCCCATATAAAATAGGAAGTTTGGGTCACTTTTTTGTAAGGGGGAAGTCAAGTCCAAGCTCCTGAAGTCAGGTGGAAGTACTCTGTTGAATTAAAAAAGGATTTGGGCTGGACCCATAACAGGTCTCATCTTCCATGCAGATATGGCAGTTTCATTTGCCTTTCCATCTTGTGGGTTCTTGACTGATCAGCTGCTGAAAGAGTTCCTGAAAGTTGCTTTAATTTTCAGCACACCTTACATACGCCTTATAGTCCGAGCCAAAGCCCTAGTCTCTTTATATGGAGATGTTCCCTCACACTCCTCTTACTGTGGTTCAACTATATAGGTTCAACTATTCTGACATTGCTGAGAGAGTCTGTCCCTGGTCCTTTGTAGCTTCTTGATTTGTTTTAATAACTCAGTGAAGTATATTATTTTGTATATCTTCTGACACACTAGCATTAGACCCATCCCTATTTTACTGTGTTGATAATAAATGTCACCATTAGTCATCTACCACTCAAGTTCTGATATGCACTGCAAAGCTAAAGATAGTGCAACAAACAAATATCCTAGGCTGTGATGTCTGCAGTGTAGAACACAGCAGGCCACTTCAGTCTTTCAAAAGACCCATTCCTGGGAATTATTTGTCAGCTCCTTTTTTAAAACCTATATGAAGGACATGCAGTGCAGTGAATATCCTGTCCCACTACCTCATTTGTCTGCAGTTAGAAGATTTTCCTGATGTCCAGTGTAGTTGTCTTTGATGAACATCTTGTTCCCACCTCAGTGGCCACAAAAGCAATCCGTAACAGTCTTTTATGTACCAGGTAGGTAGGGACCCTGTGAAGAGATGCTTCTATAGTTTGAGGAACTAGAATTTTGGGGGCCTTTCTCTGCCATGTATTTCCCATCTGACCTCAGACAAGTCTGTTAATCTCTGTATTTTGCTACCTCCAAGGGATGCTTTGAGGGTAAATTCACTGGTGTTTCCAGGGGTGTTCAGATACTGTACTGACAGGGGCTATGTAGGTGAATAGAGAGAGAGAGCAGACGTGTTTATTAACCTGGTAAAGGACTGATATTTAACTCAGCAGTGCTCCCAAACAAATGTCAAAGACTATATTATCAGAATGTCTCTTATCTCTGGAATTTTGTTTTCTGCTGTGCTACTTTACTTGTTGGTTTGTGGTTTGTTTTGCAGCTTCCTGGAAAAGAGAACTTTAAAAACATGATCAGAAAATGCCTGGTAAAAGTTGTAACCAGCTCTGACTGTCCGTGCTGTGACAGCCAACAAATATCACCTGCTGATGATTTACAGATTCTTGGGAGATGTGGTGTTGAGTCTCAAAAAGCTGGAACAACTCACCCAATATGCTTCTCAGGGAACAGTGTAATGTATCCACCCGCTTCGTGCTCTCTTAATTTAGGACATGTGTAGTGTGTAATGATGAACTGGCCAACTGGTTATGTTGCTGTAAATCTCATTCCCCACCTTACAAAACACCCTTGATTGACCTCTTCTTTTATGAAAGCTCAGTCCAGGCTTTCCATTCCATCTCTTGGGAGGGAGGTAGATCACACTGACTGTTTGCGAACACACTTTTCCAGAAAGAAAAATACAGTGTTTTGTTGGTTTTGTTTCATTGAGCAGCCTTTTCAAGTTCTGCGACCCAATTTTGCTTCCCCTTAATCTGTGACCAGTATTTATTTATCCCTTTTTAAACACAATAATGTAATTAAGAAACTAATCAGCAATGTTGAAATGATCTTTGAACTACACCTCTAACGCTGAAGGAAATTTATGAATGTATTATACAAGAAAGATCCTATTATCTAAAAAGCTTTCTGCTGCAAGCATTTGGCATCTGAAAAGACTTGAAATTCTGCACTAAATTTATAACGTAAAGATCTGGGCATTATTTATAGAGTCTGAACTGTATTCTGAGTCTGACAAGTTTGGATTATTTATTAAAAATAAAACTTTCAGAAGTGAGTTGGACATTTAAGGGTTTGAAGGACAGATTGTAAAGGTACCTGTGTATCAGGCTTTTAACGGGTTAGACTGCCTTTTCAGTCAGTGGAGAGAGATTGGCATGTTCCAGTTATGTTCCATTTTCTTAGGCACTTCAGATGGGAACTTACTGGCTGATCGTCTCAGCATGGCATTAACAGGGCATCTGTAGTTAATCATTATCAACACCTGCCAGTTCCACTTCCCGCAGCTTCAGATAATGTTTCTGAAAGCTACCTAGGATGTAGGCACCTTGGGCAGAAAGTGACCAGACACAATAAAGAGAGTCCCACATGTGCAGCGTTGATCAACCCTGGGAACTGAGCTGTTGCTGGTTGCATAGCAGGACAAACTCAATGAGACTATGTCCTCTTCACCAGCCACTTGCTGATGTTTCTAAGTGCACATCAGCAGTAGAGGGCCTAGTTCATGAATCCCAAATTGCTTCTCGGGTATGAAGGCTTCAAGACTTTGTCCCAGTATAGTTAAGACAGTTATATTTCTGGACATGGTCAGCAGATGAATTAATGATGTCTCAGCAAATGCTCTGGAGGAAGACATAGTGGTTAGTCAAGGGACAGAAGATCACATACTTGCTGTCAGGCCTCTCCATCCAAGTGGCACTGTGGGCATCTAACTGCAGGCTTAGGTTCAGTTGTTTGTCCTCCAGGGACTGACAGATGGAAATAACCAATTGGTTCTATCCAAATGCAGGTCTGGAATCAGCGTCTGATGGCTGGAATTAATGAGCAGCACATTTGAAGCCTGGTTTTCTCTCACCTTGGATCTTGTGACTGAGTTATCCTGTGTCTAAGAAGGTATGAATTCTATTCCAAGATTTGGCTGTGGCTGGGAAATTCTTCAAAGCGCTTTCCTTTGGGGATTTTCTGGTGAGTAATAAGTATGAGAAAAGAATTCTTCCTCGAGGTCTCTTTTGTTAAGAGCACTACAGTTATTTTCTGTACTGCCTTCTTACTTTCACAATATTTGTGGAATTTCATGTTTTAACTCTTAGTCCTGTAGTAAGTTGACTTGAAATGTGCCAACAAGTTCAAAAGGCAGAGAGAACTGTGGGGAGAGAATAGAAATAGGTACTGATATGCTGGTAGGCTTGTATGCAGTGCTTTCCTGAGAGAAGTAAAATAAAAAGGACATAGCGTCTGTCGCATGAAGCCTACTGTATCTCTAAAGGATGGGCAAAACACAAATCAAAAAAAGTATGGACTTTCATGGTACATTAGGGACTCATGTCAGAAAGACTGGGGAATTATTTTGGCAACTTAATGAGACCCTCAGTTAAGTTTGCCACTACCTACAATGCTGGGGTCTATTGACATGAGCTTGCTCAGACTTAGGATGCAGGAATTAATAACTTCACACTTTCCATTGACTCATTTACTTAGTTTTGTGTTATGTACTCCACATGGGTGTTCTGTAGGGCAAAGAGAAATAAAGATGAGAATTAAGATGAAAAGAGAGGACTGCCATTTTTTCCATGAAGAGCAGATTGCAAGAGTGTGGCATTTTTCCCACACATCTTGAATAGTTTTGGGCTTGGGCTTTCTGAAGAATTTTTAATTAATTTATTGTTTAAATAACTGTAATGAGAAGAGCCCCTGCCACACTGATTCTAATGAGGATTGCATGTGCTCTGTGTCTTTCTCATTGTGGCCTGTACCATTTAAATATCTTAACCAACATGTGCTGTGGCAGATTTCACTTATATCTGCTTAAATTAAAACTTGTCAATTTACGAGCTAGAAAGTAGGCAAATATTTGAGAGAGATTTGACATTCACTGCTGAAATCATTGCACTAAATATCTAGCATCAATGACATTACTTAAGAAGGGTTGGAAATTCTTGCTGTGCTGTACAGGCTGGGCATTCTGGACTTGAAGAAAAATGTATGTTACCTTCTGTATTCATAATTAAAATCTCCACCAAGATTTCAGCTGGTTTTTCTTCTATATTTTATCTGAGCTATATGTGACTATTCAGGTTCCTCAAAGTTGCTGCTAGGAGAACAAACAGTACCAATATCTCAGAAGTAGCTGGAGTAATAGCACGATTCAGTTGTAAAAAGAATGGCATTTCCTTATGTTCTCATCCCCCAGAAATGTAAGGGAAGATGGCACTGAGCTGGAAAATTCTGATGGAACCTTGGATATTTGAACAGCTCCAGCCACAGAAGATGAAGCTTTATTTCCCATGTGCATGTATTTGTAATTCCTACAAGTCACTGTAGCAAAACACAGTACTGTGTGCAGCATGTATGCCAGTGAAAAGGATGAAAACTTTTCTGTGCTGGAAATTGCTTGTTGACACACTGAAGTACAGCTTGGGTATTAACACAGAGTATTACACTTCTACGTTTAATTTCAATTGTAATGTAATCATAGTGGTACTTAACTGGTTATTACAAAAGGGACCAGAACCCAAATATTCCAATACAAAGTGAGAGTCCTTACTACCAATTGTGGAGTTGATTTCTTTTCTCATACAGGATCAGTGAATAGGCAGTAGGCAAACAATTTCAGTGCCAGTAGAAGTATAGGATAATTCAGGTTGGAAAGCAGCACAGGAGGTCTCTATTCAAACATCCTGCTCTAAGAAGCTATAGGATGAGACGAGGCTGCTCAGGGCTTTATCCAGGTGGTCGTTGAAAACCTTCAGGGAGGCTGCACAACCTCCCTGGTTGTCCTTGGGGGAAAATAATACATGTCCTTATAGCCAGCCTGAACTTCTCTTGTTGCAATTTATGCCTTATCTTCCCACCACACTCCACTGTGAAAAGCTTGGCTCTGTCTTCTTTGTGACCTCCTCACTGAGCAATGGAGTGCTCTGCTGACCGCCAGCTTATGGTGACCAAGATGCATACAGGAGGCCAAAACATCTCCTGACATCTTAGATGGTATAAAGGCAAGTAATGACATTAAATATGGTGTTTCCTCTTTCAAAATCTGTGTATTGGCCTACTACCCGAGTTGCATCACTCCTTTCAAAGCATTTTTTTGTTCAACTTCAGACTGGTGAATTTCCTACTGTTCAAAGATTCTGAGAGCTGGGGAGGGAGCATTTTATTTGATCTGTATTGGCTTATTGCAGTTAGACACAGGAAAAAAAACACCACTTTCCACAGAGGTTTTCAGTGTTCATTTCCCAGAGTTTATCCCTCATTTCCTTTAGGCTCTGACTTCTAGCAATAATAATCTGTAGTTGTAACTTGGCTGTTTCAGGTTGCATGCCTTTAATATTTCTTGTTGTCAAACTCTGTGTAAGCAGTGGTACAAGCCCTGAGTCTATCTTGCTCTGCATAGTCTCGTCAGAGCCATGGGGAAAGAGTCATGAACACAGGTCCTGGCCCAGCTACCTGTTCACTCTCAGTCATGTTGGCTCCAATTATTGTCCCTTGCAACTAACATATAGCCCACTGTCATGTTCAGGTCACTAGCTCTGAAGGAGCAGTAACCTGCCTTTCCACCAGCTAAGCTCAGTCTAGGTGAAGGTCAGATCTGTCATGAAGAGCTATTTATAACTTGAGTGAAACTGCAAAGGAGGTGGTGGGCAGAAGACTTGGAGAAGGCGGAGTTGCCAGAGATGAGCCATCTTTTGTAGCACCTGAGCTTTCTTGTGTTCAAACTCAGGACAGGTCCCAGTGGAGGTGTTCTTCAATCCAGCAGAAACCATATGGAGAGTGTGTTTCTTCATTCTGAAACACTGTGCAACTCTACCTCTTAGAGAACACTCTTCTATGCTGTTGATTCACTTCTGTGATCACAGAATCATAGAATAGTTAGGGTTGGAAAGGACCTTAAAAACATCAAGTTCCAACCGCCCCTGCCATGGGCAGGGACACCTCCCACTAAACCATGACACCCAAGGCTCTGTCCAACCTGGCGTTGAACACCGCCAGCATTCACAACTTCCTTGGGCAACACATTCCAGTGCCTCACCACCCTCACAGTAAAGGACTCCCTTCTTATATCCAGTCTAAACTTCCCCTGTTTAAGTTTACCCTTTTAAGTTTGAAGCCATGTCCCTTTCCTCCAGCTCACCCAGTTTCAGGCCTGCAGTAATGCCAGTTGCCAGCCTCCTGTAGCACCAGAGTGCTGAGTGTTTCAGGCCAGCTGGTGAATCTTCACTTTTTTAATAAGAAAACTAACATATAAAAGGATGAAATTACTGCTCCCTGTGCTTTGCAGAACTGCTTTTTACTGCTTTCTGGGCCCCTGTTAATTGGAAAGCTTAGGAGGGGCTCAGGAACTTCATACACTCAGGGTTGCTCTGCATTTTGTTATCATTGATTGTATTCAATTAATTTGTTTCCTATGAAGAGATGGACAGGCTTTCTCCAGCTTTGGTGATGCAAGTTAATACTTATGCATAATATAGCTTAAAGAAAAGATGAATTGGTGAGTAGTCTGGAAACCTGAGGCATATTGCCTTTTAGACTAATGATTCTGCATGTGGAACAGGGAAGAAAATATTGCCATAGGGATTCTATGACCTGTTCATGGGTAAATAATTATACAGAAAACATCGGTATGGAATGAATAGTCAGCTCAGAGGCCTGACGGCTGTACAGCAGTCCACAGGGTTAATCTGGGAATGTTGTGAAGTCAGTCAAAAATCAAATTCATCCCTGAGCAAAAATGCCCTGGTTAAGCTTTTATTTTGGGAAATAGAGAGAAAACAAAGCAGCTTTGATTGCTGTACATGAAGAAAAGCATCCTCCAGGCTTCTGACATTTTCAAGACACAAAACCTCGTACACCAGATGGACCAAGCCCAGTGCTTTATATACACACATGAACAATACTCTTTTGAATGTTTAAGCTCCATGAGAGCACATGAAAGGCTTTAAAATGGACTCGTCTAAGTCTCTGTGGCATGCTGTCTAAGCCAGCAAAGAGTCACGCATGGCACCTGGGAAGGCAGAGGTCTCCCAGTAATCTTTATTATCTTGGATGTCTCACTTTCTCAGTTCCTGTCTCTCAATTGGAAAATGAGGATAATGGCAAGATCCGATGGACAGTGTCTGCTTCATTTGTTCTCAGTTTATGTGAGATTTCTTTTTAAAATGACATATTTAGCTCAATCACAGCCCTTGTGAGAGGAAGATTGGTCCTCCTACCCTTTCTATACATGTCAAGGAGGAGGTGATTTCCCAGAAGAGACAGGTATGGCATACAGGGAGGAGCAACCACTCAGTAAGAGAGGTTTCCAGTCCAATGGGCAGGTTGGGAGATAGCAGAGGTAAGCAAGAAGCAGACTCACAATCAAGTGTCTCTGGGATGGGAAGAAGCTTCAGAGGGACCAGAACAGACTGTGCATGGCTCACTGTGGTTCAAATATTGACTGAATTGAATGAAACCGAGTGGAAGCTATCTTTGTAAGGATGCAGTGTGCAGGGAGAAATTTATTTATGTTAACCATTTTATGGCAATTGCTTGATCTCGTCAGTCCAGTTTACACAACTTTGAGAAGTTAAGGATTCTAAATTATATTCTAGTAAAATCAGTTGTTTATGTTCAAAAGCCTTTCTTATCTGTTTTGCCTGCCAAAGATGTTCTTTCTTTGGGGTTCTTGGAGTGAAAAGTATCATAGAACAGTTAAATCGTAGTCATTGAACTGTTGAATACTCACTCAGGTCTAGAAGCCCATTACCTGCACTCATGTCCAGCTTCTCCCTTGACTGATGAGAGCCTTGCTGAATTTTGCAGACATATAGGAAGTTAGTCCTTGAGGGTATGGTGTTCTCCTTTGCTGACACTGAATACAAGCAAAAGCAACAAAGATTCTGCTTGTCTTGGCTGAA